GGGAAACAGGAGCGAAACTGGATTTGACTGGTCTATGAACTTTAACATTTTTTCCTTATTCTTAAAAAGGATTATTGTGGTGTGCGTGCATGTGTGTGTGTGTGTGTGTGTGTGTGTGTGTGTGTCCCCACTAAATATAAATCAGCATTAAATCCCCCCTAAAAAAAACCCTGGGGCCAGGCGCTGTGGCTCATGTCTTTAATCCCAGTACTTTGGGAGGCCAAGGCGGGCGGATCACGAGGTCAAGAGATTAAGACCATCCTGGCCAACATGGTGAAACCCCATCTCTACTAAAAATACAAAAATTAGCCGAGTGTGGTGGTGCATGGCTGTAATCCCAGCTACTTGGGAGGCTGAGGCAGGAGAATTGCTTGAACCCGGGAGGCAGTGGTTTCAGTGAGCTGAGTTTGCGCTACTGCACTCTAGCCTGGTGACACAGCAAGATTCCGTCTCAAATTAAAAAGAAAAAAAAAAGAAAAAACTCTGGTAAAATGTTAATGGTAGATTATAGGCAGTGGGTATATGGGTGTTCACTGTAGATTACAGGCAGTGGGTATATGGGTGTTCACTGTGAAATTCCTTCACTTTTGATGTCTGAAAATTTCACAGTGAAATATTGGGAAAAATAATTTTTTTTTTTTTTTGAGACAGTTTTTGCTCTGTTGCCCAGACTGGAGTACAATGGTGCAATCTCAGCTCACTGCAACCTCTGCCTGCTTGGTTCAAGCGATTCTCCTGCCTCAGCCTCCCGAATAACTGGGATTACAGGCGCCTGCCACCAGGCGCAGCTAATTTTTCTATTTTTAGTAGAGACGAGGTTTCACCATGTTGGCCAAGATGGTCTTGAACTCTGGACCTCAGGTGATCCACCAGTCTCAGCCTTCCAAAGTGCTAGGATGACAGGCATGAGTCGTCGTGCCCAGCCACAAAAAGCTAATCTGAGAGATAAATGTAATGAATGGTACTTCAACCACATTTAAAATTCAAGTTTGCTTACCTTGAAAATCGTCTTGGACTGGGAACTGGACTTGGTGGCAACCCACTGCTGCTCACAAACATCTGTAAGAATAGTGAGAAACATTACTAGAAAAAAACATATTCAATATTAAAATAGTTCTAGCACTCCAGTTTTCTTTCTTCCTTTTTTTTTCTTAGAGACAGGGTCTCTTTTTTGCTCAAGCTGGAGTGCAGGGATGCGACCATAGCTTACTGCAGCCTCAAACTCCTGGGCTCAAGCCATCTTCCTGCTCTACCTTCCTGATGAGCTAGGACTATAGGTGTGCACCACCATGCCCGACTAATTTTTTTGTATCTTTTTTTTTTTTTTAATGTAGAGATGAGGTCTCGCCATGGTGCCCAGGCTGCTCTCGACCTCCTGAGCTCAAGTGATCCTTCCGCCTTGGCCTCCCAAAGAATTGGGATTACAGGTACAAGCCACCATACCAGACCCACAGTCATTTTCAAAAGGTTCTTTTCAAAATGACAGAAACAATTTCCTTAGAATTGCTTGGCTGTCTTTGTGTCTCATAACTAAATTACATATATATATATGTATATTTTCCAAATTACTGCCATAGATTTTCAAGGCATTGGATACTTTAAAAGTGGTGTGATTTGTGTGCGTTTTAGAGTAAACAGCTCAGTTTGTGAAATAGACTTAATATCCTGTCAATTATCCTACCTTTCCAAATCCCCTGGTGGGTGAAGGTGCTGGAGAAACTGGAGTGAAGTCAATTCTCTTAGGAGAATATAATTTCTCCGGCTTGTCAAAATCACTGTCACTCTGTAAACATAAAGTGTCATATAATCATAATAAATTCAGCACATCACAGCTCTTATTTACTACTATAACACACCCAGATTTTCCAAAGAGAAAGGTACGGACTCTAATATTCTGCTGGAAAAGCAGAGATCAAAAAACAAGTATCAATTTGGAAGTAGAAGGGGACAGAAGCGTGCGAAAAACTTAATGAAGCCAGTGAACAACATAAAAGTTTCTAGAAAATGAAAACCAAACAGACATGAGCAAACTTTACCAGGCTCAAGCTCTCATCCCATGATTGGCTTATCTGCATTGCCGTTTGCATTTCCCTAAAATAAACAAAGGGAAGGGCCATCAGTGTTTACAAACAAGACAGTTACTAGGCTAGGCCCTGCTCTTGCAAAGCACTAACCTTTCATGCGCAGTTTCTCTGTTCATCATATCCAGGCCTTCTTCCTGCAAAGACAAACATATGTGCTAAAAAGGTAGGATCACTGACAAAATATTAACTCTTCCACACACTGTAATTTTTATCCACATAGTTCTCGGCTTCAAATAAAATAAAAAGACTTTTCTACCTCATTGACATAATCACAGTAGAGTAGAATATTCATGCCGCTTGTATATTTTATCTGCACACTCCAGAAGAATTATAATCTGTCTCCAACTAACCAGAGTTGCATCCCAACTCATTTTAATATCTAAATCTTTAAAATAAAAATAAAAATGTAAAATCCAAAAAATTTCCAATCTGAGCTAGTAAGTAAAATTTACCCTTTTGATCTGATGCAGTCTGCTACTAGGAATACGATTAGGTGAGGATGACAGCAACTGGAAAGAAAAAGTAAACATTTACTATTTTCCGAATCACAAAGCAGCAGTCTGCTGTCAGTACTGGTGTACAACCTCTTCCAAGGTAAGTTTTCATATTCTTCTTCGAAATTTAGCTCTTTAGATCACTGAACATTAATGCACTAGAGGCAGTATATTTAGTCTTCAAAAAGTACACCAGGTGTCCAACCTCAAAGCACCATCTGTTGCTAGACAGACACTGACTTCAGCACTTTTCCCAAATGAATGTGAAGCTACGTAAATTTAGAGAAATAAAGACTATGGGCCTTAGACATATCCATTATCCCAGTTATCTAAAATAGAGAACTACATAAGAAGGGAAAGGAAAAAAAAACACCAAAGCTATTAATTTTTATTACCAATGCAGCAATGGGGGAAGAGAGGCTAATAAGTCTAGTACATAGTATTTTGTCTATGATTGATGTTTTTCAAAAACACTTTAAAACTGCAATGAGGAGGCTTTGCTTTCACGATCCAAATCCATTCTAAAATCTCATCACATTCTATCACTACAAATCTTACTAGTTAACAAAAAACAATTTGGGGCTGGGCCCGGTGGCTCACGCCTGTAATCCCAGCACTTTGTAATCCACCGCCGAGGCGGGCAGATCACGAGGTCAGGAGATCGAGACCATCCTGGCTAACACAGTGAAACCCTGTCTCTACTAAAATTACAAAAAATTAGCCGGGCGTGGTGGCAGGCGCCTGTAGACCCAGCTACTCGGGAGGCTGAGGCAGGAGAATGGCGTGAACCTGGGAGGCGGAGCTTGCAGTGAGCCGAGATCGCACCACTGCACTCCAGCCTGGGCGACAGAGCAAGACTCCGTCTCAAAAAAAAAAAAAAAAAAACAATTTGGAAAGGCAAGGTGTATCTTTAAAATAACTGATGCTTTCCCTTAGATCATCATTTTTTTAATAACACAAAGCAGAAATGATTTGGAGGCCAAATTATGTTCCTTCACAATAATTACAAGCTGGTCACAAACTGTAAGACACAATTTATATCAACAGGTCTTAGAGAGTTCTAGTGGTCGTAATATAAACAACTACTGGCCGGGCGTGGTGGCTTACACCTGTAATCCCAGCACTTTGGGAGGCTGAGGCAGGCAGATCACGAGGTCAGGAAATCGAGACCATCCTGGCTAACACGGTGAAACCCCGTCTCTACTAAAAATACAAAGTTAGCTGGGCGTGGTGGTGGGCGCATGTAGTCCCAGCTACTCGGGAGGCTGAGGCAGGAGAATGGCGTGAACCCGGGGGGTGGAGCTTGCAGTGAGCGGAGATCGCGCCACTGCACTCCAGTCTGGGAGACAGAGCAAGACTCCGTCTCAAAAACAAAAAACAAAAAACAAAAACTACTACTATTTATTCTATAACAAAATATAAATGAACTTGTAATACTATAAAACCAAATAACAATCACCCTGTTTAAGAGGCCCCATGCTATTAAAACTTTTTTGAATACTAATGCAGTGAGCAGTATAAAATAGTAATAAAATGCTCTAAGATTCTTTTTATTTTTTTTGAGACAGAGTTTCGCTCTTGTTGCCAGGCTGGAGTGCAATGGCATGATCTCTGCTCGCCGCAAGCTCCACCCCCCGGGTTCACGCCATTCTCCTGCCTCAGCCTCCCGAGTAGCTGGGACTACAGGCACACACCACCACGCCCAGCTAATTTTTACAACCATTAAGGGAGACTGGAGCATAAGATAAATGTATATTAGTACAGACAGGGTTTCACCATGTTGGCTAGGATGATCTCGATCTTCTGACCTCGTGATCCGCCCGTCTTGGCCCCCCAAAGTGGCTTACAGGTGTGAGCCACTGTGCCCGGCCACTGGCAAACTCTTAATAAGATCATTTAGAAAACACTAAGCTACAAGGTGAGCAAATACAGCAGGAAGACTCTCCAACAGGAGACTGTGGAAGAGAGCACAGATGTGTCAGTTAGGGAAACCCAAGAAACTGAAGAAGCAGTGAAACGATCAGGAAAGCTGACATGAGGATGGCCAAAAACTAACTGGGGAGAAAGTCAGAAATTTACATGCTACATTTACATAATACACAACTTGACAATTTTAGACAAAACCGGAAAGTAGACCAGAAAGAACAGAGCAAAGCTGTGTGTAGTACCAGAAACAACAGGGCAATGTATCGGCTAAAAAAAAAACACACAAAAAGAGCCAGAACTCCAAGGAGGTGCTAGCTAACAGGGTTAAATAAAGCAAAGAGCTCAAGGGGGATAAGAAATGAGGCCCCTGACATTGGCAGTTAAGTGGGTACTGGTGACTTTTGCAAGAACAGTTTTTTAATGGAGTTGTGGTAGAAGCAGCATGATTACAAACTGGCCAGAAACGAGGAGACAAGGAATTAGAGGCAGTGGAGTGTAGATTATGCTTTGAAAGAGCTTGGAGAGGGGAAGGAAAAGGGAAGGAGAGACCTACGAAAAAGAAAACAGTTTGTTTTCCCCCATCAGATGCATGAGTCTGGAGAAGGTGGAAAGAAGAGAGCTCGTGAGGAATACGGAAAAGATACAAGATAGAGAGGAGATGATAGACCGAGCAAAGCAACAGGAGAGTCAAAAGCATATGAACCATTGGGGAGAAATGCCATACGTGAAGCTAAAGACATTTCAAGGCAAAGAAAGCTGACATTTACACAAGATAGGTGTCTGTCTTCTTTGTAAAGTAAGAAGGGTCATCTGCTCAAAGTAAAAAGTGGTGACACTGGAAGCAGACAGAATCTTTTTAAAAAGGGAGAATACTGCTTTGAAGAATATCATGGGGCCAGAGGCACCTTAAATCCAATTATGTCCCAAAGAATTCATCTTCTTCCCCTTCAAACTACCAATCATCTCAATTTCTCTACTCCTACGCAGCGCCAATCCCCGGTCACCAACACACAAAATTTCCATCACTTGGAGTCTTCCTTCTCTTAGTCCTTATATCTAATCAGCTGGTGAGCCATGAAGATCCTACATCTGCATATCCAGTCCATTTCATTTGTCAACACCTTACTCATCACAGGTTACCATGGGACACAGATAAATGTATTAAGATTTATAGCACATCCTGTGATAGAGTGTATATAGTGTAATTAATATTATGATAGTTGTGGAAGCCTGCCCAGAGGAGATATAAGGATTAAACTGAGTTTTGGAAGACCAAAATGCTAGAAAGGAGAGGGGCAGGAATGAAAAGATGCATCAGGATCAACAAAGAGCAGTGAGTCACCATGGCCTTTTCAGAAAACTAGGTATTTCAGTGAGAGATGAACCTAGACCACTGTTGATAAGAATCTTCTCATCTTACAAAAGAGGTAAGTGAAGTGTAGAGAGGCAAATTCACTTTCCCTTCTTTGCTATGCTACTGTTATCAGGAGCATGGCTGTATAACATGTATAAACATTTTTCATATATCCAGCAAAAATAAGTAATATTTTCCAGTATCCTCAGAGAAGAAGGTAAAATGAATCAAGACTCCAGATAGCTAACATTTCCCCCTGTAAGTATTTTCAGTCATTTCAGTTGGAAATCTTTCTAAAATGTGTTCTAGTTCTCCCTTTCTTAAACAAATTATACCAAACAGAATGGCACTGGGAGATCTCTATTCTATTCCCAGTTCTAACACTTACTAATTGTGCGATTCTGAGCAAGTCACTTCTAACGTCTTGAGTTTTAGCTGCTGCTTCTTTTAATTGGGAAAAATATCTTTGCCCTCCCTAAATAGGGGTTGTTATGACAATTAAATATGTGAAAGTACTTTGTAATGGGTAAAATACTATACAAGTGTAGGTATTACTAGAATTTATGAATAAGTTAATGACCCAGGTATCCTTAAGAACATAAATTATTATATGATTCTACACCAATGACATGCTTGGGGTGTACTAACAGGCTCTTAGCCCTTATACTAATTAGCCACAAATTTTTAAAAAATGTCTGTTTTTCAGTTTTTCCCTCTCCTCCCTTGCTAGCAGCTATTAGTATACTTTTAACTAAAATGCATCCCTTCTAATTTGCTGCTTCTCACACACTATTGGATTGGAAGCTTATTATAATTGTGCATACATTTTAGATGATTCAGAGGTCAGAGGCTCTCCTATAAATAAACCGATGAACTTCTGCGCACAGACTATGGAAATCTAGTTCTGCCATTTAGGGATCTGTCTTCTTTCATTTCAGATGTCTTCCAGAGAATTGAAGCTGCTGGATAAGTGAGTTCCACATGTGAACTGCTACCATATAAAAAACCTCATCATAATTTATCCCAATGTGACCAACTAACAAAGCAATCCCTGACAGTTCTGGCTACAGAGATCAGTCACAATCAGTAACTCTTCAGAGAATATAAATACAAGCATTTTAAAAGGAGTCTTCATTTCGGAAAACCAGCATTGTTTAACAGGTAAGTGTCAGAAACAAACACTCTGCTACCTTCAAGTGATGTGTGCATCCTAGGACAAATGAAGACCACTGTTCTCAGCTATAATTAGAAGTTAATCCTGACTTACCTCACAAGCCTGATGCAAGTAGTGACAAATAATAATGAACAATTTTAAAAAATACAAAGTCCCACAGCAAAGAAAAATTTTTAACCATGTATCCTTTTTGTACCAAAAGCTGAATGGCCACAGCATAAGCAGTAAACAAGATAGGTAAAATCAATCTTTTCTTTCTTAAAAAGTTGTGCATAGCACATCATTTTAAGAAAGAACTCCATTTCAAAGTATTTTCCCCAATCTAAATCACTTCAGATACTTACTTCTATACTTACCAGGCTGTGACGGCTCATAATTGTTGTACTATTCCTCCGAGTTCTAAGTGTGTAAGGTTGAAAAACCTGTGAAAGGTCACTGAAAAAAACAAAAACAAACAAAAAAGCAAAATTAGTAATTTTTCTAATGGAAGATCTCTTTCAAATACATTAACATCAGTTCTCTAGTTAACAACGAAATCTTCCATGGCTCCTCATTTCATACAGAGAATGAACTCCTCACCGTCGTCTCTGCAGAGCTTCCCAAGTGGTGTGCTGTGGATTACAGGTTTGCAGAGATACTGATCTCAGTGGTTGGGGGCAGCTGGGAGAAGTGGTGCAGGCGGAGCTCCAGACTGGTTGACTCTAGCTGCTTCTGGTCAGAGCTACGCCCCCAAACCGGTTACCACCAGACCTGAGCAGCCTCATCTGTTTACCCCAGAGAACCAATGAGTACTGTTTTCTGTGTTTGCCATGATGCGAAAAGGGGCGAGGAGCATTGTTCTACAATACGAGGTGGATCAAGACATCTCCCCCTTCACCCTAAGCATGTGTCCTACCTTTGAACTCTGCTGTTGGATGGAATAAACATAGCAGAGATTGTTGCCCCTTCTGCCTCAAATGCTCTGCCTCCTGCCACCATCTATTAAAATCCTTCCTCTCCTTCCACATCCATCTTGAATGCCATACCCTTCAGTGAAGGCATGGCACAAACCTCTCTTCAATCCACAAACGGAATGCAATCACTCTCTCCTTTGAACCCAAAGAGTACACTGGGAGATGAGCTGCTTCTTGAGACACCTACTTTGTCTCTTAATAAAGAGAAATGTGGATGTGTCTTAAACCCACTGGTAGAGAGGTGTTTTATTCATGTTTTATAATATCCCTGCAGTGCCTAGCAGAGGGCGATGCCACAATAAGGATGAGAATTCCAGAAGGATTTTTCAGAAATGAACTGCACTGGGCTTTCGGGGCCCACTGAGATCACCTAATTCAGCTCTCTTAATTTTCAAATGAGAAAACAGACTCAGAAAGGTTAAATGACTCATTCGTGATCATAGCTAGTTAGTGAAAACTGGGACCAGACCTGGTCTCCTCGCCCCTTCTTGTGTCACATCATGCTATGTTACTTAAATCATGATTCAAACAACAGTATGTTTTTGCTACAATAGTCTAAATGCAGGTCAATAGAATTGCTGAAGTCCCTAGCAATTGCTTGCTTACGAGATTTCAAAAGACAATCAGAAAAAGACCAGTTTATTGTTACAGTAACCAAAATAAATTCAGGGCCAAGGACAGCAACAGGAAAGCAAAAAGTCACTCCTACATTCCCCCAGTTTCAAAATTATATTTAATAAATGAAAAAGTCAACCTGTTTTTTCCCCAAAATATGGATGTTATAATCAGTTCAACAGCAAGGATTATCTCTTTCTTTGCCTTCACTGTGCTTGATTAATATGTTTTTGGCTAATTGTACTCTCATCTCCTTTTTTGGACTAATGCCATTTCTACAGGGTCTCGCAAATTGGCTCTCTACCTAAGATGAATTGTCTCCTTATAAAAGTGAAATACAATAGGCTCAGGAGATGAACCAACCTAACCTTCACTATTACAAGATGCTACCTTAAAATAGACCCTCGATGACTTATTCACATGAAAACACAAGACCCTACCACCGAAATTGAAGAGTCGATTCTCTCCACCGTTTTCTAAAACGTGCCTTTTCACTGACCCTAAGCTACAGACCACCCTTCTTTTTTATTCACTGCAATGCATTTCAGGCAGTTTTGGAACCTGAAAACATTAGAGTAAATCCAAATCACGTACTGTGATGTGAACATACCACTTAATTACAAGTTATTAGATAAAGTGTGATTAAAGTAAACCTCTGTTAATACCAGGATTCCTAAACTAAGCTTAGAAATAGCAGCTCTGAGAGACAGGTGTCAAGTTGCATATCTAGTTCCAGGGGTTTCGATCTGACATTCCCTGGTGTAAGTTAGTCGGGCAAGCAACCTGTCAGAAGAGCCAGAAGCTTTCTGCAGTTCCTTTTACAGTGGGACAACATGGCCCCAGGTGGAGGGGGAACCGTTTCCTCCACACTGCCCAAAGTTGGAGATTAAACTTTCACTCCACCTTGGGACCCAAGTCACTATCAAGCAAACGAGTCGCCACCCCCTCAGGTTGAAGAGCCCAAATGAGCTCAAACGTGCACTTTAAGGAAGGAAGATTGCTCGCACGGGGGCAAGGAGCCCCTGAACCCTGTACTCCATCCTCCCCAACCCTGCTCACCTGAGCCCATGGATTAGGGGAGCGCTGCTGGATCTCCTCAGGGTTCCCCCGTAAGATGTATCAGGCTCAAGGTCCAGCTCCATTTTCTCCTGAGCCATGTCAGACTTGCAGGCAGGCACAGCGGGCAGTGCTCAGCTCCTGGTGCTTAGCTATGGACTCCCAAGACTCTCACTGCAGGACTGAGCTGCTGGGGACTGGCAGCTGGGGGCGGGGACTAAGGGGCGGAGGCTTGGGGACGAGGGCGGGGGCTGGGGGCGGAGAAAAGTAGGAGAGGAGGAGGGAAGGAGGATGATGATGAGGAAGGGAGGATGATGGTGAGGCGGGGAGGAGGATGCAGAGGTAGTGGTGGAAGGCGACAGAATGAAGGGAAAGGATGCAGGAAAGAAGAGGGATGGAGGGAAAACAAGGATGGAGGGAGGAAGGAAGAGGGAGGGAAAAGGATAGATGGAAAAGCAGGAGGACAGAGAGGATAAGAGGAGGAGGGCAGAGGGTGAAAAGGGAGAGGAAGAGGGCGGGGGAGGGAGAGGAAGGGAGAGGGCAGAGGGAAGGGAGGAGGACAGAGGGGAAGGGAAAAGAAGAGCGCAGGGGCGGGAAAGGAGGTGGTCTGGGGAAGAGGAGAGAGGAGGGAGAAGAGGAGGGGGAGGAAACTAGGCAGCGGCGGAACTCATGCTGCTATCTTTCCGGCTGAGGACCACAAGCGGGGCCGGGCTACAGATGCTGCGGCTGCCCGGGCAGCGCTAGCACCGAGGACCTGACAGTCGGGTAGGACCCGGCCGGGCAGCCTTGGCGACTCCAGCTCCCCATGCTCGGGGACCCGGTCCAGCCCCCCATGCTCCCGGACCTGGTCCTGGAGGCTCCTCAGCCCTGGGATCGGTGCTTCTCCCCTCCCTGCCCCCCTCCCGCCTCGAGGACAGGTTGGGGGTTCGGCCTCTCAGCCGCCGCCGCGATGCCTCCTCTTCCTCTCTTGGGTTCTAATGGTCTGGGGGAACACGCTGGGGCCAAGACCAAAATCTACAACCTGCAGTCTCTTCCGCCTCCCACGCTTCAGAAGCGGGAACCTCCGCGGGGCCAGTTCTTCCGCGTCCGGGCACCCATCGGGTCCTGCGCACGCGTCCAGCGGCCACTCCAATGGGCCCGCGGGCACGGAGCGTGCGTGGCAGCCCCGCCTCGAAATCCTCCTCCAAAGGGGAGGAGCGTTTCCAGGGGGCCCGGCGCCTTCCTCGATGGCATTGGCCTGGGGACCCTGGCGCCCAATTTTGAAAAGAACCAATAGTTGGGAAATGCTGGAGCATCGGCTTTCAGGAGGAGTTTGGGCCAATATTCATGGGAAACAGAGAAAAACATGGGATTTCCACGTTATTTCACTCCTAATTTGTACGCTCCGACCTCTGTGATCCCCACTCATGCCTTAAATCCCTCGATTTTGTTGGTCTTTGTCTGGAGGGGCTGATTTCTTTTTCAGATCATCCATTTGGATGCACTAGACAAAAGAGAAGTGGGAAAACAAACGCAATGGATAAAAATAAAGCGAATATCATGACAGTTCGTATAGCTAATGAGAAACTCAGTTCCATTTTGCAAGCATCTTTAGATTGAACAAAACTGGGAAAAGTCCGAAGAACAGGTAGCAAGCAGAACCAAATGTTTTCTCTTACTAGGAATTACGGAGTCCCGAACAATCATGACTCAGCGTATGTGAGATCTGGATTTTTTTTTTTTTTTTTTCAAAAAAGAGTCTCGCTCTGTCGCCCAGGCTGGAGGGCAGTGGCGCGATCTTGGCTCACTGCAACCTCTGCCTCCCCGCCCGGGTTCAAGCGATTCTCCTGCCTCAGCCTCCTGAGTAGCTGGAATTACAAGCGCCCGCCACCACGCCTGGCTAATTTTTTTGTATTTTTAGTAGAGACAGGGTTTTGCCATGTTGGCTAGGCTGGTCTCGAACTCCTGGCCTCAGGTGATCCACCCGCCTCCGCCTCCCAAAGTGCTGGGATTACAGGCACGAGCCACCACGCCCGGCCGAGATTTGGATTTTTTATTTAACTAACACCTACATAAAACTTGTTATGTGCTAGGCACTATTCTAAGAGTTTTAGAAATATTAACTCTGTCTTGGTTGTGACTGGCCAGTGGTGCAGGTGCTAAAGAAATTTACGGAGACAGTCATAGGTAACGAAAGGCAGATTTGTTAGAGAAGATATGAAAATACGTTGCAAGGATGCAATGGGCAGCACTACAGAGGAGGAGCTGTCTGCAAAGAAGCAGGGACTGGAGGGAAGTTTTATAGGGTCATGCTGGAGGGGGGTAAGTGCAGAAAGAGGTCATGCTGCTGGGGCCACTGTGTGGAAGGTGTGCCCTCTGGTTGTTTGTGCTCATTGTTCTTACCCACCTGGGGCCCACCTGGCCCCTTTCTCATTGTTGCTTACTTCTCAGGACTCTGCATCCCACCCCCCA